AAATCATAAAGGATATTCTTAGGGAAACTGTAAAGGATATTTCTCAGACAGATCTTAATGAAATAATTAAAACTGCTGTGTAGAGACCCGATAAAGATAATAAGAGTGTATAGCACTTTATTTCATGAATGCGAGATAGACATATCCGTGAAGAAGCAGACGCCAAACGACTCATTAAAAAGGACCTAACACCCGAGCCTTATCTTTATCAAATTCCAGAACCAGGTGAGCACTTTGAATATGTTGTAGTTAAGAATAATTCATCGGAAAGAGTGGGGGACAAAATGGAGTACCCAGAAGTAGCAAGACGACTTGGTAAAAAAATCGATATTAGCTATTATCTGAAAAGTGTTGTCGGCCTCTGTGCACGATTTATTAACTATGATGAATTATTCCAGCCATCATCTGAAATTGTGCTGGAAGCCTTAAAAAGGTTAAAAGATGGTAATAAAGCCCAGGGCAGTGACAATAAAGTGGATGATGGTGTGGTGGATGAAGATAACCTGGACGAAGATGAAGAGGATGAAGACAAAATAGATGAAGATGAAATATCAAAAATAAGAGATGCCTTAGCGTAGAAATCAGCTGAAAAGTGGGTTAGAGGATATATCAAAGAACTACATACTGGTCCAAAAAAAGGTCATGTCATTATATCTCATCTGTGGAAAGATGCTAATACTTATGCGAAAAATTTATTTAATAGCATGTATGCTGATAAAATAGTAAAATACTCAGGAAATGATACTTATTACACTTTCTTTCTCAATGCGCTAGATAAGCAAGAAGAATCCATCTGCTTAAAACTTTCATCATTGCTTAAAGAAATTTCTGAGGTTGATATAGAGTATAGAGACAGTATGTATAAATTAGTTACTAAGACCAGTAAGCGCGAATCAAAAGCCATGACTATAGAACAATATTTATTATATTATTTGGATGAGTGCAAATTACTAGCTAATTTGCGAAATATATGGTACAAAGTAATTGGCCTAGAAATTACACGATATCGAATATTATCGAAGTTACAGAATGACAAAAAAGATAATTCATCCAAAGTAGATATAGACGAAATTATCAAATTATATTATTAAGTATTCTAGCAGAGGTGTAGCAATTTCAGCTAAGTACTTAGTCATAAGACGCTTCACATAATATAATTTACATATTTTTTTCTCGTGCAATAATACCAGCTAACTTCAATTCCTATCTTCAAACTTCCAGCCTAGGACGATCACTCCAAACTTCCGGCCTCCGATCATACAGCCTGACCTCAGAAATACCTGGAGATGATAAAAAATAGTTCCGGTTAGAAGAATAGTCGGTATTACTTTTTTCCACGAATTCCATATCCTTCTCCCGATCATGAACCATATAATTGCAAGAATTAGTAAGGTGAGTATGATAT